AGATTTTCGTGCTAAAATAACATTTTTGGGCTATGTGCATCGATGCACATTCAATTTGTATCGATGCATCAAGGGTAAAAAACCCAGAAATTGTTCAATGTGCATCGATTCACATGAAGTGTATCGATGCACTTCTTTAAAATAAAAACATCGAATATCATTAGTGTATCGATGCACAAGTAGTGCATCTATGCACCCCCTTAAAATATAAACATCGAATGAGATTTGTGTACCGATGCACAGGTAGTGCATCGATGCACCCGTTAAGGAATGCATCGATACACTGTAGAGTGCATCGATGCATCCCTTCATTAAAAGGTAAAAATAACTTTCTTTTTAGCCTAAGGAGTGATAGTTTGGAATATATTAATTAGTATACTGATTAGTATCAATGTATTACTATGTAGATATAGAACGTAATTTCATTCTGGAACAAACAAAGGATTAGGATCAAGTCAAAATAAGTAAGGCCAAGGTGAGTGCATATCCTAGATGAAATGGAATTGAGACAAGACTTGCGATAAGTCTATCTCTTATCATTGAATTTATGATTTATATTCATGCACATGCATACATATATATATGTGTTAAAGTTATAGTGATTTTATGCATTTTTCATTCATGATTAACATGGTATTATATGAATGAATGCCATTATCAGAGAATTCTTCCAGATATGTGAAATAATGAAAATGATCATATAAAGTGACTTATGTGTTTACATGGACAGTGATGAAAGAGATATGAAATGAGAAATGTATTTTATAATTAAGCTCATGTTATTTAATATGAGAGCTATAGGTATAATTGGCATGCCAAGAGTCGAGGGATTATCAGTGGTCATTCGGGACATAGTGGTTATTCGGAACAATCAGTGGTCCTTCGGGATATAGTGGTCATTCGGGACAAATATTCAGTGCCCATTGAGGGAATTATACGAGTTGTGGTGACAATATAGTGCACAACCTCTATGTACTCACATACCTTTATTCTCCATAATGTACATGGGCTATTCAAAGATAAGTTAAAGTGGAATTAGCATAAGAATATATGTTTTATGTGCATGTTACCGTTATATATGTTATAGTGAAATAGATGTATACAAATAAAGATGTCATGATCAGATGGTAAGAATGCATGTTCATGAATGCATTGTTATATATATATATTTATATTATGCCTCACTAAGTCTATGACTTAGCGTGTAAGTGATTTACACGTAGGTACCAAGAATCGAGAGGAACAGTAATAGAGGCGACAAAGACAACATCACTACTAAAAGATCAGATCAGAAGTAATTGACAAAGTATGTATTTTAGTTGTGTATAGAGTGTTGGCATGTAATAAATGGTTAATTAAGAATGCTCTGATCGATTTTATATTTTGTGGTCTCTTTTATGTAAATTAATGTAATTGGTTTTAGTGAAAGTTTAAAATTTCTCTGTTTTTTTTTAAGTGTCAAAGTTTGAAAAGTCAATGTGACACCTCGGACTCATATTCGGGTCGAATATGAGTTAAGGGTGTTACAAGTAAACTATGTCGGGTAGATAAGGCATAGAAGTAAGACCATTTTGAGAAGTAGACTTAAATTTCCTAAGTGACTCCTATCACTCATTCCCATAGTAGTTTGTCGTGTGAGGAAGTTAAAGTCCTAGTAATTAAATCCAATATTTACACTTTATGTTGCCTTTACTTTTTCATTTGTTTGCACTCAACACAATTTAATTTTCCAAGACATTTCCTTCTCCTTTGCCACAATATATTCATTTGTTACCATACTACCATCATTCTATTTCCACAACATTTATTTCATTTTGCCACAACATTATCATATGTACATACCATCACTAACTTTACTTAGGTGACAGAGGAAAGTGCTTGATTGAACTTATCAATTTTCTCCAATCCCTATGATATGATACTCACTCATTATTATATACTTGTTCGATTGTGTATACTTGCACATATTTCCGCAACCATATATAGTAGTCACAACCATCAGACAACAATAATATTATCGTTTTTCACCGTTCGGCTACTATGAGGAAAATACGCAACAAAATTTCCTTGCTTGAGTCTGATGAGGGGATTAGATTGGACATGGATGAAGGGTTGGAGACTCTGTCCGGGATTATTTCCAGTCTCTTTTTTTCATCAAGTGGTGCTTAGACTGACGAGTGCATTCTTAAAGGTATAGAGCCCACTATCTCTACACATGATGAAATAACCCAAGCTATCAATGCTTTGAATCTTATGAAAGCGGCTGGGAAATATGAGTTGGGGGCTCTTTTTACCAGAAAAATTGGCACCTCATTGGCCAAGAAATTGCTGATTTCTGCATTCAACTGATTCACGGTCAGTATGATATGAGCTTGGTAAATCATACTTACATTGTTCTTGTGCCAAAAGTGGACAATCTGAGATCATTAGCTCAATTTAGGTCGATAAGCCTCTGCAACGTCTTGTACAAAATTATTTCGAATGTGCTGGTTCTTCGAATACAGGATTATTTGCAGAACTCCATTGATAAAGTGCAATGTGCTTTTGTTCCAGGTTGGTTGATTTCAAACAACATTATTACAACCTATGAGTTACTTCACTCTTCTATGAGGAAACAAGAAGGCAGGAAAGGTTATTTTGCATTAAAATTGGATATGAGCAAAGCCTATGATCGAGTTGAGTGGAGTTTCGTTTGGGATATAATGAGTAGAATGAGTTTCTCCTCTATTTGGATAAGTTTTCTGAAACGTTGAATCTGTTCAGTCTCCTTCTCAGTCTCCTACTCGGTGGTGATAAATGATGTTCCGGGTGGAAGGTTTGTAGCTGAAAGGGGGTTTCTTCAAGAAGATCTCCTGAGCTCATATCTTTTTCTGATTTGTGGTGAAAGACTTTCTCTCTCTTCGCCAAGCTGTATCATCTGGTAGTCTTAATGGTATGCTTATTAACCAGTATGCCCGATAGTTTCTCATCTTTTCTTTACTGATAACAGTCTTATTTTCAGTGAAACAAAAATGATGATTGCAGTTCGGTTGAAGGAGTTGATCAGTTTTACGGGGAGAACTCTGGGCAGGTAATTAAATTTGACAAATCAGGGGCTTTTTCAGTTCAAATGTGACTATTGAGGATATAAATAATGTGAGGCGTATTCTTGGTGTTATGAATTCTTCGGATCCGAATAAATATTTGGGGCTCGCGACTATTGTAGGTCGAAATAAGCGTGGGGCTTTTGCATAAATTTCGGGATAAATACCTTGCAAGGATTAGTTTTTGGAGCGTAAAGGCTTTATCCCAATGTGGAAAGGAAGTCTTCATAAAGGTTGTCCTTCAAGCTTTACCTATGTACACCATGTGTTGTTTTCTGCTTCTGAAGAGTATGTGTGTAGAGATTGAGAGTATTATGGCTCGATTATGGTGGCGCAATTCCATAATAAGTAAGGGGATTTATTGGTGTTTGTGGAAGAATTTATGCACACCTAAGGAGTTTGTGGGATTGGAGTTTAGGGATATGTCCAAATTTAATGTTGCTCTTCTAGCTAAGCAAGGATGGGGATTGTTGCAAAATCCTACTTCTCTAATGGCGAGAATCCTGAGGGCTAAGAATTATGCCAACTCTGATTTCTTAAACGCAAATTTGGGTTCTTGTCCATCGTATGTTTAAAGAAATATCTGAAGCGCTCGTCAACTGTTGGAGATGGGGTTGAGGTGGAGAATGGGATCGAGTACTTCAATCTCGATCTGGAATAATTTTTTGGCTCCCAAACAGAGTGCCACGTCGAGTCGAATCATATTTTAATTCTGAAGTAAGTTGTGTTAGTGATTTAATTAATCCAGTTTCGAATGTGTGGAATGAAGTTTTAATTAGAAGGGTGTTCGATGAAGAGGAATCGTTACAAACTCTTAGTATTCCCCTATCGAGTTATCGGGTCTGGAGTGCAGAGAAAACGGGGTTATTTTCTGTTTCTAGTATACAGTGGCTATTAATGACTGTAACTCATGTTTCTAATAAAGAGATTGATGTTTATCGCTCAATTTGGGCTTGTGCATGTCAACGTAAGATCCAGTTACAAATGTGGAAATTTGCTCATAATTTTGTTCCATCTTCACATAATTTTTATGCAAAACGATTGATCAATGATCCTATACGCCCAAGTTATGGTTTAACGATGGTATCGGGGTTATACGTAATTAGGGATTATATGCAAATACAGTACCCGTTGGGTGGTTATGTCGATGATTGCTTGGATTGGATACACTGGTTATTTACTAACTACCATGTCAATAAACATGTAGACATCATAATCACGGTTATTTACTAAGGAGATAAGAGCTTATTGTTCTCATCAAATCGTAAAAGAGGGACTTTAATGAGGCTAACGTGACCATAAGTAGGCCTTGCTCTGTTGAAGCCAGTAGATGGCTGCCCCCATGGATCCAACTGAGAAAGTCAATTTTGATACTCAATTTTTACATGTAGAGAAGTATTCTTGGTCAGGAGTGGTAATCAAATACTATGAAGGCAACATTTTGGGAGCATGCAGAAGATTGGTGGATAGGGTTACCTCGATGTTCATGGCAGAGGTAAAGGAGGCAATCCATGCGATTCAGTTGGCCTTGGATTTGGGCTTTTCGGATGTTATTATTGAAGGAGACTTCAAAAATGTGATATTGAAGATGGCTTCCCCTGTTCTACGGTAAAAAAAAGGAATAGATATATTACCTATAGTTATCCTGTATTAATAAAAAAAATAACGCTATTGCAGTTTACATTATTATGTCATCACGCTTTTTATGATTTAACAGTAGAGCGAAAAATAAAATAATTCAAATGTTAGATGATCAAATTAAAATTTTAGTGACCAAATCAAGAATTATGTAAAGCTTGAGTGATAAGAATTGTAGTTTACCCTTACAAAAAAATTAGAATTAAAGCCGGTTCTGCGGTCCAACCGACGTATATATATAAAAATAAAAACCACATGACCTACTTGGAATAAATTTTTCTGTTGCAACCTCGAAAGTTCCTCTCCCTTATAAAAATCAAACCCTAACTCGAACCTAGAGCTACCCCGACTCACCCATGGCTCATCATGGCGTCTCCGACCCCGAATCCGAACCAAACACCCGCCTTTACAATCCATACCAAGACCTGAACCTGCAGGTTCCCGTATCCAACCTTTACAAGCTCCCAACCTCCCCGGAGTTCCTCTTCGCCGAGGAATCCCTGCACCAGCGCCGTTCCTGGGGGGAAAACCTGACCTTTTATACCGGATCCGCATATTTAGGCGGATCAGTATCGGGCGCAGTCGTTGGGCTCTTCTCGGCTCTCAGGAATTTCGAGCAAGGCGACACTTTGAAACTCAAAATTAATCGAATCTTGAATAGCTCGGGTCATACGGGTCGGTCGTGGGGGAACAAGATCGGTGTGGTGGGCTTGATTTATGCGGGAATGGAAAGTGGGGTCGTGGCGGTGACTGATCGTGATGATGTCTGGAGTAGCGTGGCGGCGGGTCTTGCGACCGGAGCTGTTTGTCGGGCTGCCCGAGGAGTGAGGTCTGCTGCGGTTGCCGGTGCGCTTGGTGGATTGGCTGCCGGAGCTGTTGTTGCCGGGAAGAAAGTCTTGAAGAGATATGTGCCTATTTAAAACGAGGGAAAAAACCAGGAAGAATTTTCTGTGAGTTCATATTTCAGTTAAATCGAAAATTTTGATGGTGGTAGGATAAATCTTGGGGGAAAATGATTGATAATAGGTTTCCGAGGAATTAAAATTCATGTAATATGCGAAGTTGATGTGATGAATAATCGTGTCCATGACTATTAACGATTTCCGCAAGTTCCTTTGTTGCATATAAATGGATCGATATTCGATCAAACATGTGTTTTCTCTTTGTTTATTCTCTACTTAATTGTGATAAATGATCATTAAGATTTCTTTATTGTTATTTAATTTATACTCTGTTACTGTACTTTTCAATTTTCCCCTTAATGCACTTTTGCTTCATATTCCAAAATGGTCTCTACACTCGAGACATATATTCGAGTTTGACATTCATGCTGTAGTTTATGTAATTTTATGTATTGTTGCTAAATATGTTTATTACGGTAGGCTGGTAGGAAAACAGATGCCTTTCTGTACACGGGAAGCCTGTTTAAAATATTTGAAGGTACTGGTTACTTTGCAGAAATTAAGTTGCTGTCTTGTGTTTTTTTGAAAGAAATAAATGAAATGTGACTATGCGAGTGGAACTAGTTGAAGAATGCTAAGTTGATGTTTAATATTCAACAATCAGCTGAAAATAATTTGATTTTCTTATTTCATTTTTTTCTATATTGAAAATTGTAACTTCATAGCAGGGCATAGCGTTCCAGTGTTGTCAAGGCATGCGTAGGCATTGCAACTTAGCTTTAGAAAACAATGTGCATTTCATTAAAAGCTTATATTAATGCCAAAAAAAATGCTTTCCTAATTGAAGTTCGTCGTAGATTATTTCTATTTGTTTCATTTGATGTATTTTTGTTAGTAAGAAAGAGGGTAATATCAAAATCTCTTCTTCACGGTTTCAAGTATTTTGCTTTTCTGTAAATAAATTGGATTCAGTCTTAGAGTTTATTATCATAATTATATATATTTAGTTTATTTCTACACGCGCGCATATACACACACAGAGAGAGAGAGAGAGAGAGAGAGAGAGAGAGAGAGAGAGAGAGAGAGAGAGAGAGAGAGAGAGGAAAATATACATATATACATTGCGCATAGTCTAGTGTGTGTGCCTTATGTCCTTGACTATGCTAGGGTGACCTTCTGCTTTGTTGGTGCATGTCCAAGTTTGATTTAGGGTTTAAAGTTAAAAAGCTATTCAGGACTGAAACTCTTCTAATAAGATAATCATGTTTATACATGTATGTATTATACATCTTCCTGAACTGTGATTATTTACACCAATTGCAAGCAACCAAGTTAGTCAAGATATCCCTGTTTTTTATTGTCTGTTATCAGTTGCTTGATCGAGAAGGATGCATGTCTTGTTCATTTGCTTGTTTGCTTTTTGAGTAGTATTTCTTGGATACTTGGATAGTTATGGGGATTACTTTACCTTATTATTATAATTCTTCTTTGGTTGAGAGTAAAAAATGCAAGCAACCAATTTCAAAGCAAGGCTGGGCGTATTCTTTTGTATCTGAGCTAGAGTGTCACGAGGGAAGGGGAGTTAGGGTTTGAAGGTTTTAATTTGGGGAAAAATCGAAGAAGGAAGTTGGGGAATCATCAGCAGAAAGGGGGAGAGGAGAGAAAGGAATTAGGGATTGAAGGGGATTAGGGATTGAAGTTTTATCTGAAGAGGGAAAGGCAAAAATAAGGACAGGAGAATGGGTCATACGGGATTGGGTATGGGTTAATAAGGTAACTGGGCTTTATTACTTAGACCCAATTAATATATCAGTAGGCTTATGAGTTAAAGGGTGGGGCAGGTCTGGATCTAAGTCAGAAGTGAGAGGGATGGAAGGGTGAGTCATCATTTAGACGGTTAATTTGTTAGATTGCTGAATTGCCAACTGGAGGTACTGTCTATATATAATTGTACCCAAAATCTTTGAGGATTTTATCTTGAGAAATGAAAATGCACACTTTCTGTAACCTATTCTCTCTATTTTCTTAAATCCCTAAAAAATTCTTCTATCATTCTATCCTAAACCATAACAAATTGGTAATCAGAGCTGAGTTCTGTGATCCAAACCATTTTTCACGCTGGGAAAGACAAGAAAGATGCAAAAGACTGGAACCATTGAGGTACCAGAACAAGCAGCAGAAGTGAAGGAAGAGACCTTACCATCTTGGTGGGTGGGGCAGAAAGCAGAGCTGGAGGGAAGGATACAGACCTTGGAGGAAGGAATGACTGAGAACCGGGGATATTTGCAGAGAATCCTACAGCTGGTCAATCAAGCAGCTGAGGAAAAAGACTCACCTCAGTCAGCAAGAAGTCATCCACCAGCAGCTGAAAAACAAAACAGAGGTAAAGGTAAACAACCATGTTTAGTTACAGTTCTTAGTGAGCATGAGAAGTATACTTTTAGACCTAATGAACCGGGGATATTAGCTGATAAACTTGTGGGGTCTACTGATCTTCTACCTTTTAATCAGAAATTGCAAGAAGAAAATATTATGGGCAGTTCTAGTGAGGTTAAAGTAGACAGTAAAGGTTTATTTGGGAGTTCAGGGCTTATGTTACCTCGACCTAAATTAGAACTACGGATATTTGATGGTAGTAATCCCAGAGGATGGGTGAGAAAATGCCAAAAATACTTTAATCTTTTGGGAGTCCCTGAGGAACAAAAATTGGATGTGGCTGCAATGTATTTGATGGGGAAGGCTGAGACATGGTTTGATGGCTATATTATGCAGAAGCATAGAGTTACTTGGCATGAATTTGAGGCTGATTTGTGTCATAGATTTTGTGACAGAAACTATTCAGATATCATTGAAGAATTTAATAAGTTAATGCAAAAGGGTAGTGTAGAAGAATATCAAGAAAAGTTTGAAGAGTTAAGACCCTATTTGCTATAACAACATATGCATTTAGGGGAAGATTATTTTGTTTCCAGTTTCATTAGTGGTCTGAAGGAGGAATTGAAACATAAGGTGAAGGTGTTGGAGCCCAGAAATCTGTCTGAGGCTTACAGGCAGGCCAAACTTTATGAGTTGGCTAATGAGATGGAAGGTAAGAAGTATAAATATTCTCAAAAATTTTTTCCTTATACTTCTTCAGGTGGTCAACAGAACAGTGGGACTAAAAGTTTGCAGCCTAAGACAACTCTTCCAAATTCAAATACAAGGCAGAGTTTACTGGAATATAGAAGAGCAAATAATCTGTGTTTTAAATGTGGGGAAAAATTTACTCCTGAACATCAGTGCAAAGTTAGACAGTTGAACAGTATGGAAGAGTAAGAAGATTCTGCTGATCAGGAATTGACAGAAGGAGAAAATGGAGAAGGGAATGATGTAGCTAAAGAAGCACTGGAAATTTCTATCAATGCTATTACAGGTAATGTGGGGCACACTACCTTGAGAATTCAGGGTTTTATCAGAGGAAAACCAATTAATGTGCTAATTGATAGTGGAAGCACACATAGTTTTGTGACTCCTAGGTGGGCCAAAGAAGGAGTGGAACTTGTTCAGACTCAACCATTAGTTATTACAGTAGCTAATGGGGAGAAGCTATTCAGTATTGCCAAAAGTAATCAAGTAAGTTGGAAGATGCAAGGCTATGAATTTCAGCATGATTTTAGAGTTTTGTCTTTAGGGGGCAGTGATATGGTACTGGGAGTGGACTGGATGGAAGAGTTTAGTCCTATAATGATGGATTTCAAAGCCAAGACAATTAGTTTTGAAAAGGATGGAAAGACTGTTATGATTAGAGGAACTCAGAAATTGCCAACCATCAAAACCATCTCAGGTGAAAAATTACAGAAGTTAGTGGAGAAGGATACTGAAGTAAATGGAGAAATCTATTTGTTGAATGTTAAAGTGGAGGAAAGTAAAATTCCTCTATATTTACAAGATTTATTAGAAGAGTTCCATGAAGTGTTTGAGGAACCTAAAGGGATGCCTCCTAGCAGAAGACATGATCATGCCATTGTTCTGAAACAGGGGACACAACCAGTCAATTTAAGACCCTATAGATTTGCTCATCATCACAAGACTGAAGTTGAAAAACAGATTACACAAATGTTAGCCTCATCTATCATACAAGTGAGTAAGAGTCCTTTTGCTTCTCCTTGTTTACTTATTAGAAAAAAAGATGGAACTTGGAGGTTTTGTGTGGACTATAGGCAGCTTAACTCTTATACAGTTAAGAATAAATTTCCTATTCCTATAGTAGAAGACTTATTAGATGAATTACATGGGGCTAAATTCTTTTCAAAGATTGATCTGAGATCTGGTTATTGGCAAATTCGGATTAAAGAGGAGGATGTTCATAAAACTGCTTTTAGAACTCATCAAGGGCACTATGAATTTAAAGTTATGCCTTTTGGCCTGACTAATGCCCCAGCTACTTTTCAAGCTTTGATGAATGACTTGTTTGGAGCATATTTGAGGAGGTTTGTTCTTGTGTTTTTTGATGATATTCTGATTTACAGTTCCAGTATGATAGAGCATAAAAATCATTTAAGAGTGGTGTTGGAAATTCTGTTGAAGAATAGTTTGTATGCCAAAAAGAGTAAATGCTTTTTTGGCCAACAGCAAGTAGAGTATTTGGGACATTTAATTTCAGCTAAGGGAGTAGCAACTGACCCTGAAAAAATAAAGGCTATGCAACAGTGGCCTTTACCTAAAAATCTAAAAGCTTTGAGAGGATTTTTGGGTTTGACAGGGTATTATAGAAAATTTATCAAAGGGTATGGAGAATTGAGTAAACCCTTGACTAATATGTTGAAGAAGGAAGGATTTCATTGGTCTCCAGAGGCTAAATTATCTTTTGAGAATTTAAAAAGGGTTATGTGTGAAGCTCTAGTTTTGGCTTTACCAAATTTTGAGCAGAAATTTTTTTTGGAAACTGATGCTAGTTCCAGGGGCATTGGGGCTGTTTTATCTCAAGCAGGAAGGCCTATAGCTTATTTAAGTACGGCTTTGGGGCCAAAGCATGCAGACCTCTCTATCTATGAAAAGGAATACTTGGCCATCCTAATGTCAGTATCCCATTGGAGGCATTATTTGGAAAGTGGTTCATTTGTGAT